AACCCTATTGGTTCCAGCCTGATCTTGCCTGCCCCGGCCCTAAGGCCTAAAGCATTGGATGTTCTGAAACAATTCCGTAGCTTTTTTCAGGCGGTACATATGAACCCCATATCAAGCTCGACATTACTCTTCGAAAAAAAAAAATCCGACTTTTGTCCCACTGGGCGTGCCAATTGTTGGATCCTGAAATTTGGAGGTTCCAAGAACGTTCGTCGCTTTGTCGGTGTGGGTTCCGGAAGTACTCCAAAGAGCCTGTCCGTCGTAGGATTGGAGGCGGCTCCTATGATGGAGCCTGCATAGCTTCGATCGTTCATAGGGCTTCGTCCCTAAACGACCGATTTCAATGGATTTAAACTAACATCTACTGGAAAGCGGATAAAAGTATGTAATTCGAATTAAAATGCATTCAACGAAAATAAAACATGAAAGAGAAGTAAGAAAATAGACGAATTGTTCTGTTGTGCGCCTGTGTGTTGTGTTTCTTTTTACTACTTGTAATCCTAAGCTAGAATAACCACTTCTCCCACTAAAGGGGCGGTTACAATTATTTCTCCACCACTCTCAACCACTTAGTAACCTCCCACTACTACCTCCAACTTCCTGGTAACCTCCCACTACTACCTTCAACTTCCAAATCACCTCTTTCCACTACCTCCTAACCGCCTCGTAACCCCCTTCCATCAGCTCCCTGGTAACCTCCTTCCATAAGCTCCTAACCACCTGGTAACCTTCTTCCATCAGCTCCCTGGTAACCTCCTTCCATAAGCTCCTAACCACTTGGTAACCTTATTTCATCAGCTCCCAGTCGCTTCCATTGCCTTTGGACCGAGTTCCACTTGCTCTGAACTTCTTCCATTGCCTCTGGACCAGATATATTGTTTACTCCAACTTGTTTCCATCGTACTCCTAGCCGGTCCACGGGAATGTATCCCCAACAGCCTCGAGTTAAATGGAATATTCGGTTTTCCTCTTGCTGGTTTATTCCATGGAGCTTTTTGAATAAAGCATGAGAGTGCATAGGTCTTCCAGGCCAACGGAGGTAGTTATCCCATGATCTGTGGAAGCTGTTGCTTTCTATCTTGTGGAGGCAACCTTCCTCTGCTTTCGGCCCTGTGGAAGCACCACAATCTAATGGAAACTGTTGCCTTCGGTTCTGTGGAAGCAATAGTCTTTGGCTCCGAGACTTGAAGCTTCATTGCTGTTGAGCGGCTCCGTGGCCAATGAGCTCTGGCACCACTTTTGTCTTTGAGCCTTCTTCTCGTTCAGATTCTTTTAGACCCATGTCCAACAATTTGTCATTTCGATTAACCTCTAGAGCAAAATGGATTAAATAAATCCATTCTTTTTACCAAACTAATGCTTCAACCCATGACCTCAGATGTAGTCTGGGCGAGCGGCGTGCGTCAGTGGCTTACTGACATTTATATGCCTAAGCCATATGACAACGACCATTTTTTAGCCATATGCCTTTCAACTTACCGAATAATCGATTTAATATATTATGAATTTAATATAAATGAAATTTCATCGATTAAATAAATAGTCGATTGACCTATTATCCAAAAATTTACCAATAGGAAATACTTGTGATCTTGCTATGCTCTTAACAACATCACTTCCACTTCTCACGCAAGTTGACTTAATGATTTTCTATAAATATTCTAGCACAAGGCTTCATGAAATCCATGGCTTTGTGGAGTGGGTTCTATAGTTGGATAGAAATTAAGTCAACATTTGTGCATGGAATAGAATTACTGCATGATAAATGTAATTTAGAAAGGAAGAACAACAACATTTAGATAGGAATAGAGTAAAATGGTGGTGGGGTTTAGAAATCTTTTATTCTTGTCACATATAGAAGATGATCAGCAACAACAGAAGGGAGGAGGTGAGTAAAGTCGCGAAGAAGAAGGGAAAAAAAGGAAAATAAAAAATAAAAAAAAGAATGAATGGAAAAAAAAAAGAAGAAGAAGGTGAGAGGAAGAACCTGATCAGTGGTAGAAACCACTTCAGACCATCGGCATCAATGAAACCCAACATGGGTTTCTTCCCTCTCTCTTCCATGTCATATTCTTTTTCTGTCTCGTCATCGGAGAAATTCATTTTATTTTATACCTTCATCAAATAAACTCATTTACATAAATTTTAATTTCTCTTTCCTCCATATTATTAAATTATCTATTTTTAAAATAATTTAAATAATAATAATTTTTATCTAATATACATATTTATTAGTATTTATTTATTTAATATTTTAATTTATAAACAACAACAAATATTTATTATTAATGTGATGTGAAAACTTAAATTTATGGTACAATTTTTTGTATTTATGTGTCTTAAAAAAATAAAATAAATTCTATTGATTTGATACTACAATGATAAATATAAAAATTGTGTAAGAAACTAGTACAATAATCATTGTAAGAAAATTAATGTAATGTGAAAATTTAATTATATATTAAGTAATTATATATATATTAATTATTTGTGTAATTTAATGAATAAATTATAAGATAATTAGAAAATTAATTTTTATTATTATTAATTAATTATATTTAATTGAAATTTTATTAAACAAAAATATATCAATATTGGTATCATTTTGTAAAAAATAAAATTTTATAAAATATAAAAATAAATAATTATTAATAAATATATATAATAAAATTATAATGTATAAAAAATAACTAAAAAAAAATATTTTTTTTGTCATGTGTTCCAGTAACACATGGCAAGAATACAACTATGTCAGTGTTTCGTGAGGGTGCTGCAGAAGCAACCAAAAATTGATTTTGAATTTTTAATTTTTTTTTTATCCGACGTGACCCACCAATGTGGATGGCCTTATGCAAACGATTAAAATTAAAACTGTTAGACAAATTTTATCTAATTTTTCGTCAAAATTTATTAAATGCTTGGACATGTGTGTATTTGGATGTATTTATTTTTTTTTTTGCATAATGAGCCATTGCAATTGATCTAACAATGGCATATTTATAAATAACCTCCTCATTTAATACAAGTTTTTTTCAACTTTTTGCATGATAAGCCATCACAATTGATCTAACAATGACCTATTTATAGATAATTCACTCCTTTAATGGAGGCCTTTTTTTTTTCAAATCACAGTGGCGGAAACCACCTAATACAAGCGAGGTCGAGTTGATGCTCTGAGACACTATTAACGTTTTTTCTTGAGGCTATTACTATTATTATTATTATGGCAAAACTGCCTATATTCCCCCGGGTTTGGAAATTCGGCGCCATTTTTTCCTATACTTTAAAAACTGCGCAGTTACATTTTATATGTAATGGACCGTTATACCCCTCAATTAAATATCTCGTATAATTTTCTCTCACTTCTCTCCTATCACTCGTCCCCTCCCCACCGACATCTATCCCCACCATCCCCCCCCTGAAGTCGCCGCAGCTCCAAACGAAACTCCAGGTTCCGACCACGATTCCGCGGTGGCGGTCTCCCCCGGCGGTCGCGGTCGCGATTTCGACCAAGAACAGGTCTATCATTCCTTCCTCTTCAGCGATATCACGGGTATTCAACTTGTTATCGCGATTTAGGATATTTCACGGGTTATCTTCTACCTCGTTCGTTTTGTTTTTTTTTTTTCACGGGTTAGGGCATTTCTTCATTTTTCCTTTGCTTTCACGGACTATGGCAATTTCGGGTTGAGAAGTTCTTCGATTTGTCATAGAAGTGGATTTTGGGTTTCGGTCTGTAAATTTTTATTGGCTTTCAATGGTGATCCCCAAAAACCCATTACCTGCCTGCGTAAAGTTCTGAATTTATTGATTTTTTAATCGAACTTTTGTTTTTTTGTCTAGGGGTGGACCATCTTTGCTTTGTTTTGTATAGTTTATTTATGTCTGTCAGTCGGACGGGGATTGATTCGCAATTTTGGTTGTCCCACTTGCAGGATTTTTTTGTTTCGAAGCAATGGATGAAGACTCCTACATTGATATTTACATGTGGGTTGGTGGATGTTTTCAAGTGGAAAGCCCAGGTCATCCTTACGTAAACGGTATAAAAGTATTGTTTAAAAAGATTGACAAGGACAGGATTTATTATGGGACCCTCCAGAATATATACGGACGTGCTGGTGGAAAGAGTCTTGCAGTTCGCATGTATCACACTTCTAAAGGGGTCCCCTGCAGATTCAACACCAAATTTATTTTCCTAATGAAGACCGACGAGGATGTCTTAGAAATGTTTCGCGAGCATTATGGGGAGAAGCACATACACGTTTATGTAAAAGACGTTGGATTGCCTGTCACGACATGCGATAGAGAGTGGCGCAAAGTAGGATTGGAAAAAGAGGTGCCCCTCATTGGTTGGCATGGAAATAACAGTTCAAGTTATTTTCCGATTCCCCCAGGTAGTGTGGTTATTGAGCTTCCATCTTTAGAGGTTGACGAGTCTATGGATGAGAACCAGGGTGGTTGCGTGGGTGGAGAGTGCTCTGCCGCATGGACTGGCAGAAATATGACCGGGGGGTTTGATCCGAACGACGAATTATACAATTTGAAGGGTAAACGAGTAGCTGAAACCGTGGAGGAGTTAGATTCGGACTCGGACTCTAAGTCCTCGGAAATGGATGGTGGGGAAGGGCGATATTATGGTGGGTTTGACGATAGGGATGAAATGGATGTAGAAAGTGATGAGAATGTCGAAAGAGAGGAGTCCGAAGGAGAAGAGTCCGATGATGAGGGGGGTGAAGGAATGGACGAGGAGGGTGATGATGTTCGAGGTAGTGGACCGCCAATGTGGAATTACGACAAAAACGATGAAGATTCGTACGAGGGGGGGGGACGTTCTAGGGCATCTTGGTGTTGATGAACCGGTGTGGACATATTACAACGAAGATATTGCGGGTGCGAGAAAGGCCAAACAACACGGTGCGGAATATACTTTCGGCTTTACACCAAGTAGAGATGAATGTGAACAACATAGTGCGGGTTATCATTTTGATGAACGGGCTGCTATGGACGATTCGTATGATGGGGAATTCGACGGAGGAGATAGTGAGCACGATGAGGACAGTTATGACACGGCGATGGAGGATCAAATGGATGGGGATGATGACTTGGAGGGAGAGTTTACTGCACCAACTACAGACGATGCCGAATATTGGGATGGCATCACATCCGGCGAAGAAGATGATGACAATGATGGAGATGGATCCGGGTTTGAGGGACTTGAAGAAGAGATACACCGATTGCATGGGGAGGATGATGAATTGCCCGAAATGATCGTGATTTCGAGGGATTTGAAGGTCTTCATAGAGAGGATGATGAGGACAAGGAGGAGCAGGCGGGTGGGTTCACGGCAGCACCTCAATCGTCCGAGGGCTGGTTAAGCGATGCAGACAGCGACAACGAGGGATGTCTAAGAACCCCGCCTCGGACAGATCATACCTCGGCTCCTATGTATCATGAATGGGATGAGGATTGTGATTTAGGTTGTGTTGGTTTAAAAGTAGGCCTAAAGTTTGAGGGATTGGTCGGCGCGCAAAGGATGGGACATATTTTTCGTAAAGAATGAAAATACAAAAGTGACCGCGGCTTGCAAAAAGGGATGCGCTTAGAGGATCCACGCATCATGTGTAATGAATGGGCCTACATTTCAGATCAAGACGTTAAAAGGTACTCACACTTGTTTGCGCATTTTTGTTCGGGCAATATTTATTGGCGTAGTTGTACATTACATTTTTTTGTGTTTGTTTGTACATTATGTAGGGACTCACACTTGTGCGCACCAAATACGAAATACGCAAGCGGATTACAAATACCTGGGAAGACGAATCAAGAGTATCGTAAGCGATAACCTTGATATTACGCTCCCCGCCCTCAAGAAAATGATTCTCCGGGAAGTTCGTGTTGATGCTAGTATGCATAAGGTCTATCGGGCAAAAAAGTACGCAATGCAGATGATTCGAGGGGACAGGAAGGAGCAATATCGCCGGTTGTATGACTACTGTGCGACTTTCTGCAAGTACAACGAGGGCACCAATCTTATATTGGATGTAAATGGCGACAGTGATCCTCATGTTTTGCGCATAATGTATTACTGCCTGTCGGGGTTGAGGGATGGTTTCTTAGATAAGTGTCGTATGATTATAGGTCTGGATGGCTGCTTCCTAAAGGGAATTTACAAGGGGCAGCTGCTCACGGCAGTTGGCCGTGACCCAAACGAGAATATATATCCTCTAGCATTTGCGTTTTTCGAGATTGAGAAATTCGAGACATGGGACTATTTCTAGAGCGTCTGCTGCGCAATTTGGGCGAATGCAGGAACGGGGGGAGTGGGGATTTATATCAGACAAACAGAAGGGACTGCTTCACAGCCACAGCAGATGCATATTCGTGCCACTCCAATTTTTCTTGTCACACCTCAGCCACACCTAATGATTTATTTGTTTGTATATTCGCAAATAGGGAGGAACAAATTCCGACGACAAAGGCAAACGACCAGCAACATCATCCGTGCGGGCGTCCATCGCATCTCTCTTGAAATCTGTTCGATTCTCGAAAACACCGCGCACTCGTCGGGGTGGTGGTTCATAATTTTTGTATTGGACTTGGGATTTCTAAACTTTAATTTTTGTATTACATCTGCTAGGATTCCACTGCCTATGTCGCTTTTGTGTTAGCGAGCTTTTGTGTTCGCGAATTGGTTGATGTGTTTTTGTTTGTTGGTTCGCTACGACATGACGGTAGTGAGGTATTAATATTGTAACCGAAATTCTGCATTGCGTGGGGCTGGATTTTATTTGGAAAGCATGCTCCTGTCGGCTAGCTTCTACTATCTATCTGTGTGCTAAATTTATGATCATCTCTAATTGATTGCATCAAGCAGAAGCTTAACTGAAGTAGATAGATGGATTGTTTGCCCTGATAGATGATCATCTCTTATTTCATAGTCTATCTTGTTACAGGGTGGTGATAAATTATGACTTTCCAACAAGAATAGAGGACTATGTACACCGAATTGGTAGAACTGGCTGGGCGGCAGGTGCTACTGGACTTGCATAGACAAGAGCTGGCTGTTGGAAAGCATGATGGCTGTTGGAAGCACCAGAAGTAATAACCAAGGGAATGGTTACTAATACAATAGAAACACGCATCAAGTATACGCATCGGAATACCAACAAGCACTACACCTTCTAAAATACAACAACCACAAGAACAACACAAGTAATTTAAAAACCACACCCCCTGACAAGCAACAATAGGTTGTTTAAAGTGTTATTTTAAATAACACAATTACAATAAAAACAACAAAAACCGTCATGATGTTTTTCAAATAGCGTCGCAACACCTTCAACTCGGAAATGATCTGTTAGTTCACCATCTTAATCTCCTTGAACTCATCAATTAAACACACGGAAGAGTCGGCTTCAGTATCCGCGTGCATTTCATGATCCTGGTGACTTATGTTGAGAGGTTCCAGCCAACCAAAAAAATCACAAACCCCTATCCAACAGTTGCAGAATAATCTACCTTCGGTCTCTTTCGATGGACCAACCACACGTATTGCAGCAATTACACCACATTTGCACTTTGGGCATTTATACCTCAACTCAAAACTCATTCTTTTTTTCGCGTGAGAATTACTACTACCTGTAGACATCTGCAGATTGGAAAAATCATTCAATTTCAGAGAACTATAAATTTTTTTGAATCAAGATAAATGCACACAGTTCACTACAAATTAAAAAACCTCAAAATTACAAACAGGACCGAAGACATTGGGGCATATATCGGAAAAAAACATTCTAACTCGATTTAAAGAATAGCCATTTCAGATACCAATTTTGGCCACTACAAAGAAGATAGCCATATTCGAAAATTTCACCAGGGCAAAAACAACATCCACCAAGACCGAAAATATATTCTGATGTCGAAAAACACATGAAAAAAAATAAGGGAGAAATGAATCCAAGGAAGAAGGTGGAAACGAAAAAATCACATCTATTTTGCAAATACCTACCTGGAAATCGGAAATCAGTGGTTAACCATCGTCGAGGAGGGGATTCGGGGTGCTCTGGGTTTTCTTCGGTTGTGTTAGATTGATTGATAGAGAATGGTTGTACTTAATAGGAGTGGAAGGGTAAATTAGGGAATTTGGGTAGTTTAAGAGAAGCAACAGCAAGTCTACTCGCTTACTCCACGCGTGTATTCCACCTTCCGTTAACTTTTGCCGTTTGGGGGGTTAGGCGCAAAGTTTTTGAAAACACAAGGGAATACTACGCCGTTTTTAAAGTACAGGGGAAAACGGCGCCGAGTTTCCAAACCACAGGGGGATATAAGCAGTTTTGCCTATTATTATTACTATTATTATTATTATTATTATTATTATTATTATTATTATTATTTGATCATTTTTAAAATATAACATTTGATGTTTTTTTTTAATATTTTAAAATATTATAACAAATATTTTAGTTAAATTATAATTATATATATTAAATAATTTGAATAGTGTGGTGAATATGATTTGTTTGAATAGGATGATGAACATGTATGATCTAAAATATGATAGTAAACATAGCTTAAAATATAGTATAACGGTGAATATGATTGATAGCCTGAAATTGCATATATTATATATTCATATTATTTATGATATTTGGTTGATTTTGATCTCTACTTGATTTATATATATTGTTTATTTATGATTTGTAGAAAAAAAAATAATAAAATTGGTAGAATTTGAAGGAAAAGAGAACAAAAAAGCCCAATAACTTAAAGAATTAATTAAAAGGTCTAAAGCTAATTGTTACAAAATTATGGAAAAAATAAAATAAAATAAAATAAAATTAAAGAGTGCTAGGCGCCACTTTATGCCAAATAGGAGAAGACACTGCATAACAATTCTATGGAGAAATCACACAATGGTAGAAAGAGAAAGATTCTTCAAAAAAGATTTCAAGTTCTTATCGGGCAATGTTTATCTTTGTTTTTTTTGTTCTTCATCATATGATTAGCGAGTAGTTTCAATTTTTAGTTTAAGAGTGAAAGAAACAACTTGGTATGAATATGTAAAATAAGACTATGTTTTGATTTATATTATTTCTTGGTTCCTAAGTATTTTTGTATTTAATGTTTAATAATTTTTGTATTGGTTAGGTATTGTGGTCAGGTATTTCAATTAGATTAAAGAATAATTGCTAAACTAAATTAGCAGTCCGTAATTGCATTTTAATTTGGTCCAAGTAGCAACTAGGGCAGACGCCAGTAGGAAATCACAAAATTAATTTTAAACAGTTCCACATAGGTAATTGTTGAATTGAATTAGACTCTTCTAATTTGCAAAATGGTTTTACTAGTAAATTCTTTGTGACGTTAGTAGGGTTCTAGTCTAATTAGGAAAACAGTTAACGGACGTATCTTGACTGTTGAGAATATAAGAAATGGTTGGTTATTAGACGCGTATGGTAACTATAACTAATTTATTTTTAGAAACCAATGAAATTAAATATTTATCGATGATCAAATATACTATCAAAGTTATCAATTTTATTCTTAGACTAGAAGTTTATTTTTATTGAGTTTATCTTTTAGCCATAGTATTTTAGTTTGTTATTTTTATTTTTATTTTTATTTCTATCTTCCAAAAATCCCTCATTTACTATATATATACATACTAGTACTCGTAAAAGCGCGCTACGCTACGCCGCGCCGCTTGTTTGTTTGTTTCAATTTTTTGTAAGGAATAAATTGTTATGTTGTGTATTTTAATCAAGGGAAATATATAATTTATATGTAATCTATGTTATTCTGAATGTTCGGTGTGTTTTAGATTTCAGTAAACTGAACACAGGTTTGTTCTGACATAAGGTTAATAAATTGGATTAAATTTTTCATATTATATTAAAAAATTTATATTTAAATAAAATTAAATACAAAATAAAATATACCAATTGTACTAATTTTAATAAAAATTTAAATAAAATTTTTTAAGAGAGCACATCATGTTGTAATCACTCGAAATTATGATTTTATGAAATGGTTTAGTTATCTTTTATTCCTTTGATTGAACAGAGGAGAATAACTAAGTCCCTGCGCAGTAATAGAGTAATCTGGCATTCCAGTTGATTATGTTTAACATATTGTTATAAGTAAGTTATAAATAAACCAAAAATATAGATATTTGTAGTGGCGGCGTCGGATGAGAATTAGAACATATGTGGATTCAGTTGGGATGAATAGAGGAGAGAAAATGGCTGATTTGATAGGATGGAAGAAGGAAACCATCCAACAGTTTGGTAAGGAAAGACGAGATGTAGCAGCCGATTCCATTAGATGAGAATGAGAGCAAACATCGAATCGGTTGCAATGGAAAGAGGAGAGAAAGGGGTTGATTTGTTTGAATGGAAGCGCTAAACCGTCCACTCGTTTTTTAAGGAAATGGGAGAGATAGCGGCTGACTACTTGGGAAGGGAGTGACAACATGAGTCCATTCGGTTGAAGTTTGGTATGTGGAAGGTCGGTTTATCTTTCAACAAGTTCTTTTTTTGGTCGGTGGGCCTTTTGTCAAGTTAGCAATTATATATATTTGTATTTTAGAACGTCCAATTACAAAGTGACAATTTCATTACATATCTTACTTTTTTTTTTATAAATACTTTTATTTAATATCATATTATTACTTTTACCCCCAAACAAGGCCAAAAATGTGATTACAATTCCTTTAATTATCCAAGAGTCCATTCGGTTGTGATGAAAACAGCACAGAAAGGGAACCCTTTTTTTGGTTAAATACAATATTATGAGATATTTGAAAAAATTTTGTTTTGTTTTACTTAAATATTTCTTAAATTTAAAATATATTGTATCGGAAATTGCTAATGCTTACCTTTTTATTTTTGGGGTAAAAGGTTTAGGGTTGGTTTCGGTGGCCGGAGATTTGGTAGTTTGGGCCACGTGGACTTTAACGGCTGCATCCGTAGTTGAGAGCCCCGTACAATGTATGTTATATTGTACGTTTTACGTGTTTTAATTAATCCAACTCTTAACAAATTAATATTGAAATTTGGATTGACTACTTAAAGACGGTCTTTTTTTCAACATTTTTGGTTAATTTAATAACTACGAATGTATTTCTTGAAATTACATATGAGAATGAGGCAAGTTTGGTGACTTGTAAGTAATTGAGAAAGGCAGAAACGGAGAAATGTAGTGTAATATGATTGTCAAAATATATTAATATAAGGATTCCAGAAAAGCATCTGGAGCAAAAAATGTTTTACAAAACAGT